AAGGCTATTTCGCTATAGCCTTTTAAAATAAGACCAAATTTTGTCAAAAATGGCTAGGAGCGAATTCTTTATTTTTATAATTTTTCTGATTATACATGTACCTTTCTCAGAATTGTATAATTTAAGGAGACAATTTGTTAGCGAGTATTTAATTTAGCGAATTTTAGCGATTTTTAAAAAGTCACTAAAGCCCGCACTAGCTTTAATTTCTGATTAAATTATTAATAGTTATTAACATTAAATAATCAAAAGCATTAAATAAAATACCACCTAAAGTGTCCGTATGATGAAATCGCTAATATAAGTATACGCTAATAATTGTCTCCTTGAAGTAGTTAAACACAAAAAGTATCACTTTATTCTTTATATATATTTTTCTTAGGCTCAGTTGCTATAAAAAGCTCATGGTTTGGTAAACCGGACAGGGCAATACATTATAGCTACTCTCTCTGTCATGGAGATGAGCAATCATTTTCTAGCTGTTGGAAGGTAACTCATTCTCTTTCTGAGGGAAGAAATATTTATAAAGACAGTCAGTCAGCAGGTGTCATTTGCCTCTCGTCTCCTCCAAGCTCGAGCATAATTTCATCTAACATTGTATGTACTGTTACTATAAACTATATTAACAGCAGTAGTACTACTACAACCAGAGTTTCTAGTAGCAGGATAAGACCTAGTTCTAGCAGTGTGTTGACTAGTAGGGTATCATCTAGCTGTATAGTCAGTAGCAGCAGTAGCAGTATATTCTCTACCACCATTAACAGTGTATCATCTACTACTACCAGTGTATTATTTGCAGTTTCCAGTGAATTCTTTTATTCTACTGTTAAATCACCTACTAGTAGCAGGATGTCATTTCATAATAGTGTATCAGCTATCATCAACAGTGTTTCATCTTCAAGTGGTGGTGACAGACCCACACACAGTCCATCATCTACTAGCTACACTTTCTCGGTGAGTAGCATCATGACTAGTAGTAGCAGTGTGCAGACTAGTGCTCAACCAACAGTTGGATCAAATGCACAAAATAATTCACAGGTCTTTGGTTCTATTGGAGTTGTCATTGTTGTCCTTCTTGCTGTTCTTATAATTTTGGTATCTGTTGTTGGGTAAGTTGTATCATACAGTATAATAACTATTGTTATTTGTGTTTATAATTTATACAGATGTGCAGTACTTGCATGGTGTTTGAGGACTAATGTAAAGAAAAAGAGATCAACAAATCGTTCTCTTCCAGTAATGCAAATGCCAAGTGCCCAATATCAGATGATTGCCAATCAATCTACTGATGCTGATCCTAGAGATAGTTCAGATGAGGAATTTCCAGGGACGTCTGAACAAGGAGCTTATGATAAAGAAGCAGATGAGAAGGAACCACTTTGTGAATTGTCAGTGTAATTTTGTATTGGAATTAATATTATGTTAATAGATGAGTTACTTTATTAGTTATTAGCAAAGTTACGCTTTCAAATTCATTGTTTCCATGATGACCCTCCTCACTTGATGACATATCTTTACGTCTAAACCAAGCAGCAAGGCATTTGTTCAAACATAAATTAAAATGATCACACTTTATTAGTTCCAGCAATATTTTGATTGCATGGTCCTAAATTTAACACAAACGTGCTGTGTCTGTGGGATTCAGACTAAGTTAATTTAAACTGGCATGTAGACTATAATTTTAAAAAACAGAATTCCAGTGCTAGGAAATACCGGATGCATTTAGTAGCGAGATGCATAGATCTATGATCTATCATACCATGGATAATAATAATGTATACACTCCCACTCGTTTCTACCATTTTGGTTAAAATTTTTGGCCAAACAAAAATTCTTGATAAATTTGACAAGATTTTTGACTGACGAAAATTTGGAGCCATAAAGGACTATAAAAAAACCAGCCTACCGTCATTGGGGTGGAGCCGTCCACCCAATTACCGTAGGTCGGGATATATTCGCGGCTGCTTATTTTCGCGATTTTTTCCCGCACTCAGCAATTACCATGGTTACCAGATGCAATTTTAATGAAAAATCCG